TTCAACGCGTGGTCTTCGGAAGTCCCGACCCTTTCTTCCCGTGGCTGGTTTCTGGTCTTGAGAGATCTCTTGACAGTCCTGGGGCCCAGCGAGGGCCCCGTGGAGGCAGACAGTTACCAACAACTTCCAGCTTTTTTTGGACGAGGCGAGGATCCGTGGGCTCTCTCCTGGACCAGGCCCGTTGCTAGCCCTGAACGTATCCCCATCCCTATGACTTGGCATCGCCCCATCTCGGTGCCGCCCTCGAGGATTCCTCGCTCTTTGGGGGCGCATCCTTAGGATTGTCACCGCATGTGGGCCTGTCCATCTGTTTATGATTGGGACAAGCTCGAGGCTGGTTAGCCCTCGCCCCCCCCCCCCGCCCGGGGCCGCCGCGGCGGGCCCCGGCGTTCCGCGCGCAGGCCTCCCGGGAGGCGCTTGCGGAGCAGCTGCCGGGCATCGTGAACTCCGAGGCTGGCTCGGCCGCTGCCCCCGAGGAGGAGGAGGAGGAGGAGCAGGAGGAGGGGGAGGAGAACGGGGAGGAGGAGGAGGAGGAGGAGGAGGAGGAGGAGGAGGAGGAGGAGGAGGAGGAGGAGGAGGAGGAGGGGGAGGACGCTGTAACAACCCCAGCCACCATTGAGAAGCACAACGTTTGCGATTCCTGGTGCTGGTGGCAGAACGTCGCCGGCCTTGCCCCGATGCAGACGCCAGAACTTCGGCACCCCCTGAAAGCCTCTGGGGGGGGCACGTCACGGAAGGGGCCAGTTAGGGACCCAGGATCGTGTCACGGAAAGGCCCGGTTAAGGTAACGCCCGGGGCGCCCAGGGGACGTCACGGATGGGACCGGAAAAGGACCACAGTAGGAAAAGAGCCACATTTGTAGAGTTCTTAGGAGGAGGCGTCACGGCAGGGGCCGGTTAGGGCGGGTCCTAACCATTGTATACTGTGATGTGTATCCGAGGGTAGTTTTGTTGTTGCTGTTGCTGTTGCTGTTGCTGTTGCTGTTGCTGCTGTTGTTGTTGTTGTTGTTGTTGTTGTTGTTGTTGTTGTTGTAGGAGCAGTATTTCAGGAGGGATGAGCTCATAGTATACTGCCCTGATCTACGCAGTTCGCCCATGCATCGTCGCTGGATGTGCATCGCCGAGCGTCTCAATAGGGCCCCGCAAATTTAAGCCTCCTGCAGGGCGAACAAACCAGGAGGGCCCTCACGGGCCCCTAGACGCATCCATTGAAACCTTCGAAGTTGCGAAAATAGCCCCACGAGGTCCTCGAAATGGCCCGAAGAGGCTTCCAGTACGCTTCCTGCGCGAAAGACGTCCGAATGCCATTATGGTTGATTTTTGTCGTCAACGTTGTCGTCTTCGTCGCCTCTTTCCCCCCCCCGTCCTCTTCCTGCTCCTCCTCCTCCTCTTTCTACATCTTCCTGTTCCCATTTGGTCATGATCCCTCTGCTCGCACTCCTCTTCCTGCTTCATCCTCCTTGTCTTTCGCATCCCTCCTTGCTCCCCCTCTTCATATCCCTCCTTCTCCTCCTCCTTCTCCTCCTCCTAAATCGTTGCTGCGTTTTGTATTTGCACGAGTACTCCCTCTCCTCCTTCTCCTCCTTCTCCTTCTCCTCCTCCTCCTCTCCTCCTTCTCCTCTTCCTCCTCCTCCTCCTCCTCCTCCTCCTCCTCCCTCTTCCACTTCTCCTCCTCCTTGGCCTCGTCGTCCGAGAGGTCCGCGAATTCCTTTATGGCTGACTGCGGTTTTGAACATGTGTGAACTCGTCTGGTTATTTTCGTCCTCCTCCTCCGCCTTTCGTTGTCCCGACTCCTCCCGATTCCTCCCTGCCTCCTATCCCCCCTCTACTCCACCTTTTTTTGCTTCCTCATCGTCATCCTTCTTCCCTTCATCCTCGGGAAAAAAAAACCCGCGACGCGCTTCTGTGAACACCCGGTATTCACCGCCACAAGCGTCTCGGAAGTGGTATCCAATGGACCGAACACGCCCTTGTGGTTTTGTCGAAGGAGGGGGAAGAAGAAGAAGGAGAAGGGCGGATGATGAAGAGGAGACAGACGGGCAGGAGGGGGTGTTATTATTGTCGTCGTCTGGGTTCTTCGCACCTCTGCTGCCACGAACAGCCCAGACGTGAACCACAGGACTTCGTGGCGCCCCTGCGGGATGCCTGTCAGCTTACCGGAGAAGACGACCGTGGGAGTGTTCGGGAGCCTTGAGACGGGGGTCAATGCAGACGGGGGTTCGCCAGAGCGCCGGATCCTGCAGGATCCTGCGAAGACCCCTTCTGGCTGACCCGGTTTAGCGAGCCCCTCGTGGCCGCGAGGCGGCCGCGCCTATTGGCTGACCCGGGTTTGCGAAGACCTGCGTTGCAGTTTTTTGTTTTTTCCTGCACTGCAGTTTTTAGTTTCCTGCTGACCCGGGTCTGGATTGACCCGGGTCAGAAGATCGCCGAAGTGTGCGCGTGAGGCTGCAACAGTTGCCTGATCAGTGCAGCTCACCTGCGGTCGTCGCTGAATGGGCTGGTGAGGATACAGTCAAACATGATAATAAGGATGGGGCAACTTTCCAAGGCTGCCCTTGCATCCTTGCCCCTTCGGTATTCGGCATCCTTCGGCATTTTGCTGCGCTCCGCACGGGTTACGTCAACGTGGCGTTCCAAGGCCCTTGCACCCTTACCGCGCACCCTTACTATCCCGGTCGAGTGTACTTTTTAGTCAGCGGCCGCGGGCGAGCGCGCCGGCGGCGAGTCCAGTCAAAGCGGGGCACGCAACGACAAAGCCACCTAAAGCAATGGAGGGCGGCCTCACCTGAAGCGGCGAAGCGGGGCCTCACGCAGCACCTCAGCGGCGGACCGGCGAGTGGAGGGGGCAGCTGAAGCTGAGCCGTACTGCCAGCGTGCAGGTATGCATGGCGTCGGAAGCACCAGGTAGTCCGGAACAACGACGACCAGAGGCAGAAACCGAGTGATTCAAGCATGCCGGTCGAGTGCACGCGAAGCGTCAGCAATTGCGCGACTCACGGTGCTCTGCGCCCGCCCGCGCGCTCGTGGGCGCACGATCCGCCCCGGCGAGGGCAGCGTTGTCAACGGGAGTTCCCCGTGCTTCCCGCGCTTGCGAACCTCCGCCCGTCCAGGAGAACATGCTCTTTTGCCAGGGGTCGGTTCAGCCGCGCCCGAGGAGGGAGGACGGAGGATGGAGGAGGATGGAGGAGGAGGATGGAGGCGGAGGAGGAGGAGGAGGAGGAGGAAAAGGAGGAGGAGGAGGAGGAGGATGGATGAGGAGCAGGAGGAGAGGATCTGGGCGGAAGGGGAGGACCAGTGTGAACCCAAGACGCACCAACGATGTTGCAACCCACCCTCCCTCCATTCCCTCCTCACAGGTTCCCGCAGCAATCTGTTGCCATTGCGGGAAGACCCCCATTGGAAAACAACCGTCCAAGACATCTCAATCGGGCCAACGCGCAATATCAATATGATTGCTGCGTCCTGGCAGCGCTAAGTTGGGCCAGAACAGGTTCCTGAAGCTTGAGCACCGCACATCAAGGTGACTGCGTGACTGTTGCCTTCTGACAATCCGGCATCTGGCCAAACACCATTCCTGGGAGCCCAACCGCTCGAATCCTTGGAACTTCGGTGAACTTTCAAGGCGAAAGTGCGTGGCGCTAAGGCGAACGCGACAACGTGACAACGAACAACCCTACTTCCTTGAACTATTGCGAGCTTTTAAGACGAATGTGCGCGGCGCCACTGTGAGAGCCACTTTTAGACAACGGCCCGCCCCCCATCCTCGAAGCTGTTTCGTACTTTTAAGACGGATGTGCCCGGCCCTGAGGCTAGGCCTCGTTTTGACAACGACCCGCCCTCCTTCCTTGACGAATATGCGCGGCTTAACGCGAGAGTCACTTTTTGAAAGCCACCCGCCCTCCATCTTAAAACAGATTGCAGATGCCAAGCTTCAGGGTCATGCATGGTTGGGACGTCTCTGGCGAAACGCTTCCTACCGACACCTTTGGAGTTGCGACAGGGAGGAGTTAGTTGTAAGGAAAAGGTATGGGGGGAGATGAGGGGGAGGCAGAGGAGCAGGAGGAGGAAGATCGGGCTTGGCCAAGGGGGGGGGGGTGACAAGGGACGTGCGGATAGCATGGCCAGGACCAAGATGTTTCTCCAGATCTGATAGCGCCCTCTCCTTCCCTCAACGCATCCGTTGGCCCCCTTCTTCGCTAGACCCTTGCTCCTTCGTCTCTACCTCCTCCTCACTTTCCTCCCTCTCCCTATCTTATCTTCCTTCTTCTCTTCCTTTTTTCCATCTGCTCCCTTTTCGTCTTCTCTCGTTCTCCTCCTCCCTGCTCCTTTCGCCACTTTCCCTCGCAATCGATCCCAGTAACTCCAGCATTTGCACGAGGGTTAGACGGCTGCAGTCAAGACTGATGCAACCAGCATACTTTTCAGTTTTCGACGGAGCACGAGACAACGCGACTTGATCAGTCCCCGACTCTGCCTGACGCCCTTTTTCAGCACATCCTTACACCATTGATCGCTGACTGGCGGAACAAGGACAAGGGAGTCCAATTGCGATTCACCACCGCGATCACGTTCACCAACTTGCGTATTGCCGACGACGTGCTCCTGACCAGCCACACCCTCTGTCGTCTGACATCGATGCTCGACGACATCGTGCGCGCAGCAAGGCCCGACGGACAAGAGCTGCACCTGGCACGACCAATAGGATGAGCATCCAGACGAAATGGACTGGAAAGGCGAGCTCGCTCGACATCTCTCTTCATTGGGGCAGTATCTGACGCCTCGGCCGGCTCATTAGTTTCCACGGCACGATTGAGATGGATATCGAGCAATGCACCAGAGCTACTTGGGCGTCATTCATTTCGCGCAACCAACAACTAACCAGCAGACGCTTCGCACTGACATTCCGACTCCGACTCTCCAACAGCACAGTCACACCGTCACCACTATACGGAGCAGCGACATGGATGCTCACGGAAGCCCTCTGGGGGCGGACACATCGACTCATGCTTCGTATGATAATCAGGGTGCCTCGACGACGCACCGTGCACAAAGCAGCCCCCCGCAACAACCAAGACAGCCATTGTGCCGACGGCACGCCGCACGACTGAAGAAGCGTTGGACATCGACCCTGCGCCAAGAGTACCAGGGACGAGTCGGACAGCAACCTGCCTCAGCACGACGCGGCCGCAGCGGCAAACCAGCACAGCGAGTGTGACGGCGACACCGCACATCAGGTATATACGTAGAGCCCTACATGGTCTGCGAACTACATTCAACTCGTTTTCCGGCGCGCAGAACATCTCATGATGCATCACCATCTCGACGGCTGGACGACGACGCACACACGGAAGTGGTGGCGCATGGCTTCTAGGATGGCCAACCACGAGCACACGCTTGTGAGCATCGAGGGTTGTGTGGTGGCAGCCAGGAGTCACTCCACACCGTCGTGGCCAGCGACAGCAGGGCGGCACATGCAAGCTCTGGGATGATGACGTGGCGACGTGCCTTCTGACCCGACCCGCGCCTGGCGCCCACGCCCACCACTGCGCAGGGCCGACCAAACGTCCCTGCTCGGGCTCGCATGGCCCAAGTCAGCCTCACCGGGGCAACGCTCGCACACCAATGCGTTGACACTGGATGTCGGCACTTCCGACGTACGTCAACATGGACAAACAGTACTTCCTTCTCCTCCACCACCACCTCCCCGTCGTCATAATTCGTATTCGGGTCGTGGCGTGTGTAGATTTGTCATACGTGCAAGATCATTGAGGCAATGGTATCACCCCCTTGGATGCAAGGTTAGGACGGCCCGGTTGTCCGCAGAGGTCGTTATTCGACACCATCCTCATTTTGGGGGGGGTCCCGCGCGCGGTATGCATCACCTGCTTTGTACGCAGCCAGCATTGGCCTGGTGTGTATATATGTGTATATATGTACATGTATGTATACATCCCCTTCGCGGGCTCCCTTCGCGAATGGGGCCCTTGTGCAGCGCATGGTAGTGTCATGACGTCCCCCTCTTCCATCCGCTTCTCCCTCCCATGCCCCTACGTCGCATTATTGTTTTGTTTCGTGTCTGTACCTTCCCCGCTATCCACGCCCGAATGGTTGATTCCGTTCTCCACGCCTCATGCCGCCGTGTCGGGGTTCCCCCACGGTGTTGAGTGTACCCTCTGTGCTGTCCACGCGCAGATGGCTAATGTTGGCAGGACCGCGTCCTCATCCTAAGTCGTGCTGAGGGCCCGGCCGCTGCGCGCACTGCCTGTGCACACTGCTTTCTCCGCCTCGTCGCTACGCGCGAGGCCTCTGCCGCCAAAAGTAAGTATGTGCGTGTGTGTGTGTGTGTGTGTGTGTGTGTGTGTGTGTGTGTGTGTGTGTGTCTGTGTCTCTGTCTCTGTCTGTGTCTGTGCGTGTGTGTGTGTGTGTGTGTGTGTGTGTGAGTCTGTGTGCGTGTGTGTCTGCGTGTGTGTGTGTGTGTGAGAGTTTGTGTGTGTGTGTGTCTGTGTGCGCGTGTGTGCGTGTGCGCGTATGCGCGTGCGATTTTGAATGGTTCTCCGGGGATCTTCACGGATTCTCCATGTTCTTCCATAGCGCCTGCCCCTCGAGGTCTCGACCACTTCCCCGCGACTGCCTTTTCGTGCAGAGCTTTCTGTTGACGCCTCCGACGCTTCGCAAGGGCCAGCCGGAGGCAGCAGGCAACGCGAGGACCCCGAGTTCGGGGGGGGGGACAAACCATGCGTGCACGCATTTTGGACGCGTTCCGGCCAGAGTTTCGAGGTGACTCCGGCCGTAGCGACGACGAGCCCCTGGGAGGCCCAGAGAGGCCCGCAAAGCGTTCGAATTGTTTCCCCCCCCAAGCCCTCGAACCTCGATCTTCCTCGAGCCTTGGAGGAGAGAGGGAGGAGGAGAGGAGGAGGAGGAGGAGGAGGAGGATGACAAGTGCAAACCCAAGACTTATCACCGGTGTTGGAAAACACCCTCCCTCCAAGCTTCCTCTTCGGGAAGTTCCCCGTTGGGGGACAAGCGTGTCAAAACCCTGACGCGTGCCAAAACACCATTCTCTGGACTTCAACGCCATGAGTCAACCTGACTGTTGCGCCTTGACGACCCTGAGTCGTGTCAGAACACCATTCCTGGGACTTCAACACCGCGAATCAACGACACTGTTGCGCCTAGACAGTCCTGAATCGCTCCGAAGCACATTTTCTGGCACAGCCATCAGGCTTTGAGGCGAGAGCCGCATTTTGAAAACGAACCGCCCTCAATTTGTGAATGGCATTTTTCATAAAAAACGAATGTGCGCGACGCGCAGGCGAGAGCCATATTTTGAAGACGAACCGCCCTCAACCCGTGAAGCTCCTGCAATTTGTTTAAACAGATGTGCGCGGCGCTACGGCGAGAGCTGCATGTGGGAAGCGAACCGACCACTCTCCGTGAAGCTCGTGCAAGTCTTGAGAGCTAGTATTCGCGGCGCTGAGGTGAGAGCCACGTGCTGGAACCGATCGCTCTCCATGCGTGAAGCTGTTGTCAGTCTTTCAGCTCCAGGGTGATTATTGTAGTGGCCTCCGGCCAGTACCGCCGATCCAGGACGCTTCCGTTGCTGCTTTTGCTGCCGCAAGCGCGCAATGGTGGTCATGACCGGCGACGACGGCGAAGCGATCGCTCTCCATGCGTTAAACTGTTGTCAGTCTTTCAGCTCCAGGGCGATTACTTGCAAGGAAGTCTCAGGCGAGACGCCCAGCCTGCTCTTCCGACTGGCCTCGGGGTGCGGCAGGGGGGAGTTATTCCCAAGGAAGAGGAGGATGAGGAGGAAGAGGATAAGGATGAGGCAGAGGAGGAGGAGGAGGAGGAGGAAGAGGATAAGGAGGAGGCAGAGGAGGAGGAGGAGGAGGAGGAGGACGAGGAGGAGGAGGAGAAAGGAGAGAGCAGACAGGACAGAGAAGAGAGCAAGAGAGGAGAGAGGAGAGAGGATAAATGAGGAGGAGGAGGACGAGGACGAGGACGAGGAAGGCGAGGACGAGGAGGAGGAGGAGGAGGGGGAGGAGGAGGAGGAGGAGAAGGAGGAGGAGGAGGGAAGGAGGAGGGAAGGAGGAGGAACATCAGGACGAGGAGGAGGAGGGACCCCCCAGCAGCGTTCCCGAGGCTGTCCCCCGACCGCTGCCTGGCCTCGTTGCGGCCTCCACCGGCAGTATGAACTCCCAGGCCCTTGCGCCTTGCGGACGGGCAGGGGGGCTTCGACAGCGCCATGTTGCGTGCGAGGGGGTACATGTCGGCCCGCGTCTTAACGGGCGAAACGCGCTATAAAATAGTCTTTTCCGTCACCAGGGGCGCCTGTCCCAGGGCGGCTGGAAAGATCATACACTTATGGTGGCACGTCAAGGTATACACTTTCCAGCCGCCCTGGGACAGGCGCCCCCGGTGACGGACAAGTTTATTTTCTACCTTTCTTCGCCCGCCATGCGTCATCTTGATGTGTGCGTTTGTGCGTCAATCACGCGGCGTCTCCGCAGCGCATAGTCCAATCCTTCCATCTTCCGCCTCCTTTTCCAAGTTCGTGAGGCCCCTCCTTACCGAGCCTGCCGTCACAGCCTCGGTCGGGAGGCTGGCGCACTCAGTCTTCGCCTGGGGCTTCGGGTACGCTGCGTCTTCATGGGGCCGTCGCCCTCCGCTGTTCCCCCCGGGCCCAACTGATCGCAGCGTTGCGTTCGTAAATCGCTTGTATTTTTTTATGCCCCAGAGCTTCCTGCCCTCAAGCAAACGCCGTGTCAGACAAGGGTTGCCGGTCTGGCTCCTTCGGCGGCCAGCCGCGCGCGTCTCACCGCGATGGCAGCGCTGTGTATCGTGCAGCACCCGTGTCCCTCTTTGGCATGGAGGATGGAACAATCATGCACGGTATGCAACATACACCTCAGGCGATGCTTAAGAAAATTTACATTTTCGGCCAGAGTCTCGATTATTCTTAATGTTTCAATGTAAATCCCAAGATTTGAATAGACATTCTGGGCTTTGATTCAAATTCTGAGACGATGAATTTCTTAACCCATGATTTCTTAAGCATTTCGCAGGGTGTACACTCTCTGAGGCCCGAGCGGATTGGATGTCACTGGGTCGCCGCCCCCCCCCCCCGCGCTCCGTGCGCAGGGGGCGGGGAGGCCCAGCGCCGGCCCAACAGAAATCGCCGTGGGAACTCTGCAGTCTCTGTTGATGCAGCTTTCTGTTCATGGGCCTGTTTTCCACCACCACCACAAGTTGGAGGGAGGAAGGAGGTAGAGGATAAGGAGGAGGAGGACGAGGAGGAGGAGGAGGAGGAGGAGGAGGACCCCCTCCCCCTCCCACTTATGGTAGTGGTGGTGGAAAACACGCCCACCATCTGTTCCTCTGTCTCGGGCAGCGGGGGCAGCTGCTGCAACTGTGCCTGTGCCGAGCTGTCCTTGGCTCCGTCTCAGGCAGGAGCCCTCGCCGGCTGTCTTTGTTGCCCCTTCTGGTTCAGCAAAGAACTCTCCAAGCCTTCACCCCCCTCCTCCTCCAGACGCGCCCCGCCTGCAGGCTGGCGTCACAGTTCGCATTGAAACTATCCAGACCCTAACTCTTCCAGGGTGCGCGCAGTCGCGCGTGTGTATCGTGGGTGCTGGCACTTTGAGGTCGGCATTGGCATGGGCTCCAGGGCTTCGTGGGCTCCGGAGGCGGCAGGGCCGTTTTTTCCATCGTTTCTGGAAAAGTGTCTTTTGAGACTGGAAGCGGCAACACAACGGCGACCGGAAACGGCAAACAAACGGCTCTGGGACTGGAGCCGGAGCCGGAGCCCGAGAGAAGTCGGCGACGAAACCAGCAGACAAACGTTGTCGGAGCTGGCAAGAAAGTTGCAAGACTGAGGCGATAAAGCAACGGCCCCGTTGTTTCCAGGGCCCGCGAAGCTCCCGGGTGATCTCGTCATGGCTTCACACGCCGTGCTCCCCTGCCACTATCCCTCCCTGTCCTTTTAACCTCCTGCTGATATTTCT